GAACGGGATTAGTGCCCACTGAACCCGGAAGTAAGCCACACAGATCTCTTCTAGCTAGAATTGTAATGGCTATTAAATAGGTCATAGGGGTGCACATTGCAGATCCACAGAATTGCAATGAATGGATGTACAGATGAATCTTATCTAAGCTGGAACAGGTTGAAGGTTTGAATTTTTGCTTAGGAAGAAAATTTGACGTTAAAAAAAGCGCAGCAGAATTGGCGCTTTTTTACCCGTCACCTTTCTCTAAGCAAACATTCAACGGTGATCAATTTTTTTAAACTTTGGGCGCGCTCAAGGCCTCCAGGCCAAGTTTGGCTAACTTTCACAGACTCAAAACGGCGCAATTGCAAGATGGGGGCATCTCTAAGGATGGCCTAGCGAAAAAAATGGAACTCGTGCAGCGACAATTGCTTAATTTCGGCAGTTCTGGTTTATAGTTCAACTTCCCGATATTTTTATTTATTATTATTGATTTATGTTATTTATTTATTTATTTATTATATTTATTATTTATTTCGTGTGGGCATTTGGCTCGCCTCTGAACATAAACAGACTGAACACAAACAATGTGCTTGGTCAAGACCAAGTCCTCCCCGTCATCTTTACGGAACTATTCATGAAGGGCAGAGTGAGGTCCAGTTGAAGTATTGATTCAATGATTTAGTTCGTCGAAGAAATAGCCTTTAATGGACCCATTGATGGCACCGAGTGACTCAAAAAGCTGTTCCAGCGAACCCGCTTGCAGAAAACTTCCTCATTGGTTTTCTCCGAGTATGGGCTCTGCAGTTTCATTGTGACTACGAGTAGCGGTGGCTTCAGTCAACGCCCTAGTTGCAAGGAAAAACGTACTATTCCGTGAACATTTTGTGACTTTCAAAAACCACCAAACCGGCCCCATAAACATCGCGACACGATTCTGAATGGAAGTCAATAACGCGACGTATATTTGAATGTGATCCATTGACAATAAGCGATTTGCCCTTTTTCTACAAGCAGCAGTATTCTACCAGTTACTGAGGCCTCTCCTGTCGTGTCACGGCTCATTTGTTCGTATGTCTCTGATGACCTTCTATGATATCATGCATGGAAATCTTATGACAGGTCGTCAAAGATTGATCGTGCGGCCAAGAGATAATCAGACGATCTCTAAAGAACACATCTGAACCGTTAAGAAGCGGAACACATTGTCAGGCACTGAGGTCGGGTATTTCTACCATGAGTTATAGGTAGGTCGATGCGAAGAAAAAGCGAAGGAAACGGAATTTTGGAGGGTTTGCGAGGTGAGAGCAAAGGATGTTGGGAGGGACATACGCTGAAGTTGACGTAACAGATAAAATGAAATATTAGAGAAGGCACAGAAGAAAGGACATTTTCCCATTCAAACGTTAGTGTGGGTACTGAAGCCATAGGAAGCCTTTATGCCCGAGTCGCTGTTTCATCTTTTGAAATGAGTCTGGCACCCAGCGGTGAACCCCGTTCGGACAGCAGGATCCTTCAGAATTCTTTCCCTGGAGCCAATATTTCGTAAATGCGACTTTTTGCATAAGGTTGTGGTGGTAGAGCTTAGGGGCTTCTAGCTGCTGTAGGATTAGGGAAAAGAAGGTGGGTGAAGGAAGAAGATTCAAGGTCCGGTGATCAAAATGAGCTATCGTCTGTGACAGTGAATAAAGGGCAAAGCTACTAGCGATGATCGATTACTTTTCGGGATGCGCCACGCTCCGACTGCTAGTCGGGATCACCGAGGCGTGCTTGAGTCGAGTTTGAGTTTGGGAACAACCAATGGGAACAAGCCCGTGTATTCTCAGCGGTGCGCTATCCCGAATTCTGGGTCACAATGGCCGTCCGGCGAAGAAGGCTTTAGAGTCACGCTTCCGGCTAATTTTTGGAAAGCCAATTCCAAATAATGCACAAAGAAAACTGCACATTCATCAAGGTCCCACATGGGCCACGGCTGGTACCGCGTACTCTGCTCTACGGCGGTTACCAGCGCTGGTCACAGGTAAATAATGAGCACAAAGTCGTGCAGCTACAGGCTGGTACTGACCGGAACCACTCGTAAGCACTTACAAATTCCATCACATTTCACTTCATTATATAAACCAGAACTTTGTTGTGTCGGTGTGTGTGCGTGTGTGTCGTTCTGTCCGTCCGTACCGACCGCTCACAAAACCAGGGAGTACGAAGGGCAACACTTCGTGATGCTGACGTCATGACCATGATAAACCCACAGCGGCTATATAAACACCGATTGAGCACACTCAGTCTCATTCTACATGGACATGCTGCCGTGGCAGCCGGATGAGCGGGGAAAGAGGGGTAGAGGGAAGGGGCAAGAAAGGGGAGGCTGGAAGGGAGGGGAGGGAGAGAGAAAGAGGGAGGGAAGGGGGAGAGGAGAAAGGGAGGGAGAACATGGCGCTGCTATGCGCCGGAGAGAAGGGGTATAAGGAGGTATAACACATTCAATAGTGAGGTGGTTAATGGAGTACGTCATGCTGCTATTCCGTGGTTCCTCCCTACCCTGTGATGCGCGCGATAGCGGGCGGAGCAAACCTGGTTTCCCTGCATAAAGCATAGCAACCCACTGACTTCAGACTCCATGAACAGATGAGATGTCACGTAAGCTTCGAGTGTCGGGGGCCACATCTGAGCGAAATTCGATATTGCTGGATCAAGCGGGCCATGGTGCGCAAAGTTACCAGATGCGCGACCGATCGCCTGAATAAACAAGATTACGTCCTATAGCTCAGGTATGGTTCGGATTTATTCACAGTTACAGGGGAGAGAGCAAAAAATGTAACACTGTGATTCTATCCTCCCTCAAAAGCGAGAAAGTGTCGGGTGCAGACCATGCACCACAAGTGACGACGGCCTTCACAAAATGTTAATGTTTTCTGCCAATGAAATGATTAGCCTTTGCAGTTGTATTCTATCGATTGTCACTAATTACAACTATCATTTACCAGAAATCAGCTATCACTATGAACAACTTCTAACCAGATTTACTTGGAGGCCGTCGTCAGTTGTGGTGTTTGGTCTGCACCCGACACTTTCTCGCTTTTGAAGGGAAGGTTACAATCCATAGGATTGTATGGTCCGCAAATTCAGTAGTTGGTTGTGAAATAAATAAAACGGGAGTTGCCGCTGGTGCGCTTAGAGAGGGTGGGGAGGGCTTTTCCTCAATGTTCCTCTTACACTTCTAGGCTCATCCGCCCACGATCACACTACTACCAGAGCCTGGATTTCTCAATGATCACATTTTTCAAAGATGCCCATTGCATCTTGGAGAATGCCTTTTCAAAACGCCAGAGGCACGCAGGCAGTAGTTAGACTTTGGGACAAATCGCCTTGCGAATTGCGCGATTAGCCAGCTACTGGGCCCGGAATCAGAGTTCTGCCTGGGCTGACTTGAGTAACTTTCAGGCATTGAGATGGTATGAAATTTGGGCACTGGTGTACTCACAAGGGGAAGGGTCTTTCAGGAAATAGAGTGTTTTGTTTTCAGAATGGTTTTCTGAATAGAGGTTAGTCAGAGGTTCATAGTGGAGTTAACAAAAAAACCATTGGTCGTTTTTTTCCTTGAGCACTCCCAGGAATCAAGTAGCCGGGGAAAGTGGATCAGAAGTCGATCTCCGTGATGGACAAATTTGTGTGCAATCTATGATGGCGACTCCAAAAACCGCAAAACACGACAATGACATCCAATTTCGAATGGCTCCATTTGGCAGAAATCTGAGGCACAAAACTGGTGATTTGCCAAAATAGTCCCCACCGGGAGTGCGAACTCGCGACATTTCTTCACCACTCTTTCATATTTCCTGGGAGCGTTCAGGGAAAACGGATCATGGTTCTGTGTTCTTGTATGAGCCCGTACAACGTACAGGAAACCATTTTGAAAAAGCGCTCCGTGCTGAAAGACCTCCCTTGTTAGCAAATGTGACATAGGAAGTGTACATTACATTGTCACGCGGAGAGCCCACTACACCCAGCATTCCCCCTCCTAGTTGTCCAAAAATTTTCTATACCTTGGAGAGGACAGGGTAGGGAAATAATAAAAATATATGAGCAATTTTCTTATTCCTCGGCGTTCAACCTTCCTCCTAGGCTCGGTCTGATTGCAGTGCTCCCGCGTAAAAACAAATTTGCTATCGTTGAGAAAAGTAACTTGCACATTGAACAGCAGGTTGTTGTCCGGGGCTAGAGATCCTATCACCGAGAATTCTTCTGCACTCAGTCCTTCCCTACCCCTCCCTATTCCACACCATCACCCGTTCTCAACCAAGATTTCCGCTTTTCAAAAAAAACCCGGTAGGGGGCGGGTTGCGGCGGGTAATAGTAAGTCTACAAGTGGTGCCAGTAGGAACTAACGGGCGCTCATCCAGTAAGGGGGGGGGGGGCATCAAGTGGCTGCCCTCACCCCCACCCCCCTAGACTGCCTACACTCCCCCTGGCGCACAGGTTTCTCGAAGTACGGGACCCCGTGAGCCAGGGGGAGTGAAGGCAGTCTAGGGGGTGGGGGGTGAGGGCAGCCACTTGACGTTGCATCACAATGCCCCCCTTACTGGATGAGACCCCTAAATCCCTATAATAACCCATCCAGCGGATCCAGCAACAGCAACCACTCAGAAGCACATAGCTGAATTACAAACTCGTGATATCGATTGCCCTCCGAGGATGACGTTGAGCGTGGTAGTGAGTCTGCAAATGCGACACGTATCGCTGCGGGGAACAGACTGTATGCGTGTGGGTTATTTGAACATTTGGAAAATACACAAAAATTTTATTGCACAGGCGCTCGTACAACATTTATCAAACACCGTTCTTGTAAATTGTGCTCTACAGTGAACGGGACGGGTCTAACATTGAGCACGAGCTGAATTGACCATTCAGATGACAGGTTGTGATGGCCCATAAAGAATCTGAGAACGTTAAGATTGATGAAGCTAATTAAAAACAACCCGGACGGATTCGTTCTGGGCGTATGAGAGGATAACTTTTGCCTAATGATCACGACGACTGCGACTACGGGTGTGAGTGTGACTGTGGGAACTTTGACTGTGGGAGCAAGAAGAACCGTGCTGTATGGGAATACTCTTCTTCGAAGTATTCGGATTCTTCGGAGCTTCGATGGTGAGCTTGCCTTTGTCGCTGAGTTCAGTTTTCAGACCTTCCAAATTCACGTCCTCAGGGAGACTCCAAGAGCGGACGAACGACCTGAAACAGTGGCATGAGTTTGACATAATCTCGTAGCATCCTGGTCATACCTAGCCATGAAGCTGTTCTCGTTCTTGCACTCCTGCTTGCCTTCAACGGTCAGCAGCCTGCCATCCAAATTGACCTTCAACTCTTCTGGCTTGAACTGTGACACATCCAACGATATGGCGAACTTCTTATCATCGTCAATGACCTGAATTTTTCGCCTTACGGAGCGTTCAGAGTTGGCGATTGTACGTGCGATTCGGCGATTGGGCGATCAGGCAATGATTCAAAAAGAAAAGTATGCGCATCGTTCAGACGATTAAGGGAGTAGGCGATAAGAAAAGAATGAGTATCGAACGCTTTGCCCATTGAGCGATCGCCTGATCGCTTGATCGTACGTACGATCGCAAACTCTGAAAGCTCCAATAATCTGATTACCAAGCAGCAGTAGCAGCAGGAGGAGACTGAACCTGGATGGCGGAATTTGGCGCCATCGCAAGATACGGAGCAAACCGTAGGATTAAGCTTATAAGAAGGCAGGAACTCCGGGGAAAATGGGAACCGTTCACGCGTCCTAATGTCCCCCGAGGTATTGCGAAATCTTGGCCCCTCGCATTTCGGATGTCAGGAATGCTAACTCGTCCTTATAATAGTGGGCGATGGGTGACCCTGGTCCATCTTTCCCCTGGCCCCTTGTGGGAGATAATAATGTTACTACGATTTAGGGGGCCGGGCGCGGCGCGCGGACGGCCGGCTGATGCCAATCGCGATCCCGTATCTTGCTATAGAGCTGTAATTTTACGAACTGGATAGCGCCTGAAAGTTTTAACGAACCTGGTGCGCCTCATTTGCAACCTGCAGCACTGAGTGATCGGCGTCCCGCCAGTAGGGTGCTATGGGCTGGTTCGAGGACCTGTGCATTTCTCTCAAATACTCGTCCATGATGCGATCCATCATTCGAGACATATGCCAGAACGACGACATCTTTGCGAATCCAGCTAATGGTCCACTGAAAGCGAAAAACGCAATTCTGCCTCGGGAATACCAGGAAGATCAAAAATTAGGGCACTATGGCCATGGGTGGCATTTGGAACAGAACCTTCAAAACCCGCTAGAAGGCAGCACTAGGACTGGACCTATGAGAGAAGAGAAATGCTATTCAGAACGAGATTAGCACGAATCCTTCCCCAAAAGCCTTTCCACTCCTTCATGCGTAGTCCTAGGTACTGTAACTGGCTGAGTACCCCCCAGGAATCCCGTCGAAGGCAAAGTCAGCGGACGAGTCGCGCGCGTACTATAGGGATTTCGCGTCAAGTTAAATAGAGTGTCCCATTGCACGTCCTACACACCACGCGCTGCAACTCGTCCGCCGACTCTGCCTTCTTGCCGCGCGACGGGCCTCCTGGGGGTACCCTAACTGGCTCACTCACTTGAATGTCCCCCCTAACGACATGAACGCCAGCAATGACGCTACGTACAGCCACTTACCAAATAGTGCTGAATTCAGAGATGCAATTTGAACGATCTACTGCTGCACGCCAAATCTCCTAGCCGAGAGGGACGGTAGGGAATGAATTGACCTCTCCTTCAACAACGGTATTTATTCAAGTGATAACCTGTTTTTCTGGAAACCGTGAGGTATCCAGAAAAACAGGTTATCACTTGAATAAATAAACTTGACACAAGCCGAACGTGTTTCTTCAAGACATTTCTGCTTCATAGGTTTTTATCTGTTATCACAAGAAAGTTTCAAGGTACCAAAAGCGGTAGAGTTGTGGCAGGGCGTTCGAGGGCGGATCTCAGGCGACGGCCTGGTGGGCGGCAGGGTGAATATCGGTCGAGGAAATCCTCGACAGGAGGGGTCGTACTTTGTCAGGGTGGGTCATGGGGGGTCGTACTCATTGGGGTCAGTAACGTCAGATAGGAGAGAGAGGGTGTAGCGCAGCAGAAAACAAGGATATGAGAAAACATGAGATAAAATATTCTTTGCAGGTCCAGTCGCTCCATTCCTTACCTTTATGAGAAGGACGTATTTGAAAGCAGT